CAAAATCGACAGACCCTTAGCGATGCTAGCGAAGAGAAGAAGAGAGAGAACTCAAATTACTAGCATACGGGATGAAAAAGGCAATATCACAACAGACACTTCAGAAATACAGAAGATAATCAAAAACTATTTTGAATCCTTATACTCCAATAAATTAGAAGATAGTGAAGGCATAGATAAATTTCTTAAGTCATATGATCTGCCCAGATTGAGTCAGGAGGATATAGAAAACCTAAACAGACCAATATCAATTGAGGAAATAGAAGAAACCATAAAAAGACTACCAACTAAGAAAAGCCCAGGACCGGATGGGTATACAGCAGAATTTTACAAAACTTTTAAAGAAGAACTAATACCAATACTTTTCAAGCTACTTCAGGAAATAGAAAAGGAGGGAGAACTTCCAAATTCATTCTATGAGGCCAACATCACCCTGATACCTAAACCAGACAAAGACACTTCAAAGAAAGAAAACTACAGACCAATATCTCTAATGAACCTAGATGCAAAAATCCTCAATAAAATTCTGGCCACTCGGATACAAAAACATATCAAAATAATTGTGCACCATGATCAAGTAGGATTCATCCCTGGGATGCAAGGCTGGTTCAATATACGGAAATCAATAAATGTTATTCACCACATCAATAGACTTAAAAATAAGAACCATATGATCATCTCGATAGATGCGGAAAAAGCATTCGACAAAGTACAGCATCCCTTTATGTTCAAAACTCTAGAAAAACTAGGGATAACAGGAACATACCTCAATATTGTAAAAGCAATCTATGCTAAGCCTCAGGCTAGCATCATTCTGAATGGAGAAAAATTGAAGGCATTCCCTCTAAAATCTGGAACAAGACAGGGATGCCCTCTCTCACCACTTCTGTTCAACATAGTTCTCGAAACACTGGCCAGAGCAATTAGACAGACGAAAGAAATTAAAGGCATAAAAATAGGAAAAGAAGAACTTAAATTATCACTATTTGCTGATGACATGATTCTATACCTAGCAGACCCAAAAGGCTCTACAAAGAAACTATTAGAGCTAATAAATGAATTCAGCAAAGTGGCAGGATATAAAATCAACACGCATAAATCAAAGGCATTCCTGTATATCAGCGACAAATCCTCTGAAATGGAAATGAGGACAACCACTCCATTCACAATATCTTCAAAAAAAAATAAAATACTTGGGAATCAACCTAACAAAAGAGGTGAAAGACTTATACAATGAAAACTACAGAACCCTAAAGAGAGAAATAGAAGAAGATCTTAGAAGATGGAAAAATATACCCTGTTCATGGATAGGCAGAACTAACATCATCAAAATGGCGATATTACCAAAAGTTCTCTATAGGTTTAATGCAATGTCAATCAAAATCCCAACGGCATTTTTTGTAGAAATAGAGAAAGCAATCATGAAATTCATATGGAAAAATAAAAGACCCAGAATAGCAAAAACAATGCTAAGCAGGAAGTGTGAATCAGGCGGTATAGCGATACCAGACTTCAAACTATACTACAGAGCAATAGTAACAAAAACAGCATGGTACTGGTACCAAAACAGGCGGGTGGACCAATGGTACAGAATAGAGGACACAGAAACCAATCCACAAAACTACAACTATCTTATATTTGATAAAGGGGCTAAAAGCATGCAATGGAGGAAGGATAGCATCTTCAACAAATGGTGCTGGGAAAACTGGAAATCCATATGCAACAAAATGAAACTGAATCCCTTTCTCTCGCCATGCACAAAAGTGAATTCAAAATGGATCAAGGAGCTTGATATCAAATCAGAGACACGCCGTCTGATAGAAGAAAAAGTTGGCTACGATCTACATACTGTGGGGTCGGGCTCCAAATTCCTCAATAGGACACCCATAGCACAAAAGTTATTAACTAGAATCAACAAATGGGACTTACTCAAACTAAAAAGTTTTTTCTCAGCAAAAGAAACAATAAGAGAGGTAAATAGGGAGCCTACACCCTGGGAACAAATCTTTACTCCTCACACTTCAGATAGAGCCCTAATATCCAGAGTATACAAAGAACTCAAAAAATTAGACAATAAGAGAACAAACAACCCAATCAACAAATGGGCCAAGGACCTGAACAGACACTTCTCAGAGGAGGACATACAGTCAATCAACAAGTACATGAAAAAATGCTCAACATCTCTAGCTGTCAGAGAAATGCAAATCAAAACCACCCTAAGATACCATCTCACTCCAGTAAGATTGGCAGCCATTAGGAAGTCAAACAACAACAAGTGCTGGCGAGGATGTGGGGAAAAGGGTACACTTGTACATTGCTGGTGGGACTGCAGATTGGTGCAGCCAATTTGGAAAGCAGTATGGAGATTTCTTGGAAAGCTGGGAATGGAGCCACCATTTGACCCAGCTATTCCCCTTCTTGGTCTATTCCCTAAAGACCTAAAAAGAGCATGCTACAGGGACACTGCTACATCGATGTTCATAGCACAACAGTTCACAATAGCAAGACTGTGGAACCAACCTAGATGCCCTTCAATAGATGAATGGATAAAAAAAATGTGGCATTTATACACAATGGAGTATTACTCTGCATTAAAAAATGACAAAATCATAGAATTTACAGGGAAATGGATGGCATTAGAGCAGATTATGCTAAGTGAAGCTAGCCAATCCCTAAAAAACAAATGCCAAATGTCTTCTTTGATATAAGGAAAGTAACTAAGAACAGAGTAGGGACGAAGAGCAGGAGAAGAAGATTAACATTTAACAGGGATGAGAGGTGGGAGGGAAAGGGAGAGAGAAGGGAAATTGCACGGTAATGGAAGGAGACCCTCAGGGTTATACAGTGGAGGGGGTAGGGGGAGGGGAGGGGAGGGGAGGGGAGAGGTGGGGAGGGGGGAGGGTGGAGGATGGGAAAGGCAGTGGAGCACAACAGACACTAGTATGGCAATTTGTAAATCAATGGATGTGTAACTGATGTGATTCTGCAATCTGTGTATGGGGTGAAGGTGGGAGTTCATAACCCACTTGAATCAAAGTGTGGAATATGATATGTCAAGAAATTTGTAATGTTTTGAACAACCCACAATAAAAATAAATAAATAAATAAATAAATAAATAAATAAATAAAAATCTCATTACATTTTCAAAAAAAAAAAAAAGTTTTTGAAAATTTTATGTCCCAACACTAAAATGTTAAAACATGATATATAATTTTACATACTTAATAATAAAATTAAATAAAAATTTTATTTTATCTAAAAAAAAAAAAAGAAATACAAAGTCTCTTCTCTCTTACCCTCTGCTGTCTAACCAGAAACATCTGAGTAAAAGAGGATCCATGCTGCTGTTGATCTTTCATTTGCTCCACCTCTTCTGCACAATATATTCAGAAGGATCGAGATTTGCTTCCACAGAACACTTGGGTTTGCCAAGTATACTAATTTCTTGATTGTGCTTCCAAACTTTAGGAAACATGTAAATCTCTCCATGGTGAAATTAATACAAACGAATCTATTTGAATATAGGTGCTCTTTAAATTCTGACACCAGCTCTCATCACAGTTTGGAGAAGCTTAAGTTCATGGAGGTTAAGTAATTTTCTAAAATATCACAAGAATAGTAAATAACAAAGCTGGAACTGAACCCAGAGGATTTGATGAGATAATAACAGCTGAGAAAACAGTGTAGCAGTATCTAAAATATTCCAAGATGCTCAAGAAAGCAATTTTTGGGGAGGGTGCTGAGAACTGAACCCAGGGCCTTGCACATGCTGGACAAGTTCTCTACCATTGAGCTATACCCCCAGCCCCTCCATTCGTCTTTTTCTATTTCACCAAACTTGCAAAGTTACACAGGTAGAATAGGAAGGTATCTCTCCTGACCCACAATTCCAGCACCAAGCAAAGTACAACTTGTCAGGAGGGAAGCCACTTTTTTCTCATCTCTGGACTCTCTTCCTAATAAGATTTAATTGCTTTAGCTACATAGTCACAACTAACATCATTCTGGGTCCCAGCCACAAGAATCCAGTAATCAAGGAAGCTACACAGGTAACTAATGTACATGAGTGAAGGAAGGACACTGGGGGAACGAAAAACCACAGTTCCAGCTTGCTGGAAAGTGGAAATTGAAGCATTACCTACGTGTTGGTGATATAATAGCAAATGCTGGGAATTGTGTCACACAGGAAAGCAAAAAAAAAAAGTGGGGGGCACTCAACTTTGTCAGTGACATGAACATGTTAAAATGCTGAATCCAGTTGACAGGTCTTCTAGATTTTAAAGAGAAATTAGGAACTGATTTATATATGAAATATTCTACTTTTGAAATGTGAGAAATGCATGCAGAATGTTTTAAATGGTTTAAGGCTACATAGTGTGGGCTAGACAAAACTAATACCTGACCTGAGCTGTCTTAAGATGAGCACAGGATGCTGGGTGTGGTGGCACCCACCTGTAATCCCAGCAGCTGGGGAGGCTGAGGCAAAGTCAAAGCCAGCCTCAGCAACTCAGCGAGGCCCTAAACAGCTCAGTGAGATCCTGTCTCTAAATATATAAAAAAGAGCTGGGGATGTTGCTCAATGGTTAAATACCCCTGGGTTCAATCCCAGTACCAAAAAAAAAAGAGAGAGAGAGAGAGAGAGAACAGAAGCTGTCACTTTATAATAAATTATTGTGGAAGCCTGTTCTCCTACTCTTGTTATGAGCAGGGGTCAGAGGTCAGGGCCCAGGAATGGCTTCATCCAGTTGTAGACAGTTGTGTCTGTCTTTTGCCCAGAACACACCATCTTTCTGCTGAACCTACAGGCTTGCCTCCTTATAGAGACAAGATGGAATTCTTTGTGTGTGTGTGTGTGTGTGTTTTAATTTTTATTGTTGGTTGTTCAAAACATTACATAGTTCTTGACAAATCATATTTAAGATGGAATTCTTACTGGGAAATACCAGTACCTTGTTCATCCCTCTGTACTCATAAACAACCTCCTGATTATTCATAACAGGGAGAGAAATTCAACTGTGAAAAATGCCACGAGAGCTGTATGGAATGCAAGGGCCCTGGCACCAAGAACTGCACCATGTGCCCCGCGTCCCTGCTGCTGCACATGGACGACGGACGCTGTCTCCACTGTTGTAACACCTCCAGCCCCTCCAACACCCAGGAGTGCTGTGACTGCCAGGAAAGCATGGGTAAGGGGACAGGGACAGCCTGCAGAGGGAGGGTCTGGCCTCAGAAAGCAATGACAGCCACAGAAGAGGAGGATGGAAAGTTCAGGAAAATCAATCAGGCTATCTTTCACTGAGAGTCTGCTGCATGCCTACTGTACTTGAAACCTCGTGCCCATCATTCCAGTTCTCAAGTAGATATTATTTTTTTAATTTATTTTTTTAGTTGTAGTTGGACACTATACTTTTTAATTTTATTTATTTATTTTTATGTGGTACTGAGGATCAAACCTAGGGCCTTGCACATGCTAAGTGAGCATTCTAACACTGAGCCACAACCCCAGCCCCACAGTAGATATTATTGATCCCACTTTACAGATAAGACCACTGAAGCCCAAAGGGTTGGATTTGGATTATCTAGGTCTACATCAATATTAAGAGGCTCATTTAGAATTAGAAAATGGGTCTTTTAGACAGCAGAGCCCACGTTCTTTCCACTGCTATACTCTAACCCCAAGTTAGAGTTCAACTAGGTCTAGAATTTGACCTTTATACATTTACCCCATTCTATTTTTATTCTTCCCTCTTGAGGGAAATAAAGGAAAGAAATTAGCAATCAAGGAGGTTAATACAGTATTATCTTGAATCTGTTGAAAAATCATTCAGTGGAAGTCAGCCCAAATCAAAGCCTTGCATTAGAGACTTAGAGCATTTTAGAAATAAACTTTCATTAAAGGTTAAGAAGAAACAAAACTGAGCCAATGGTGCATGCCTGTAATCCCAGTGACTAGGGAGCCTCAGGCTGGAGGATCACAAGTTCAAACCCAGCCTCAGCAATTTAGCAAAGCCCTAAGAAAACTAGCAAAACCCTGCCTCAACATTTTAAAAAAAGGATGGGGATATGGCTCAGTGGTTAAGTGCCCCTGTGTTCAATTCCTGGTACAGAGAAAAAGAGAGGGGGATGGGGGAAAAAGAAGAAACAAAACTGCTTTTACCAACTTCCAGACCTCAACTGTCTTCCAGCCTCCAATGTTGTTATCCCCACCCATGTTGATATTTGATTCTCGTTAGTCACAAACTTAGAAACATCCTGAATGCAATGATTCCTAAAAGGAAAACATATTCTGTATTGTTTATTTCAGATAGGGTCTCACTATGTTGCTTAGACTGGCCTCTAACTTCTAGACTCAGGTGATCCTCCCACCTCAGCCTCCTGATAGCTGAGACAATAGGCACACACCTCTGCAACTGATTTGCATATTCTTTTTTTTTTTGATACTGGGTATTGAACCCAGGGGTGCTTTATCACTGATCCACATTCCCAACCCTTTTTATTTCTTTATTTTGAAACAGGTTTCTGCTAAGTTGCTTAGGGCCTTCCTAAATGGTGGAGGCTGGCCTGGAACTATTGATACCCCTGCTTTAGCCTCCTGAGCCACTGGGATTGTAGGCATGCACTGCTATTCCTGGCCTGGCTCCTATATTCTTAATACATATTCCCTAGTCCAGAAATAGATAATTTCCTAGGGGTTCAGATATATTATTTCCTGAGCAAATATTTATGGAAGACTGTCCATGTGTAAGTAAAGAAAATCCCAGACCCACAACTACTACTAGACACTTTAAAAAATTTTTTTTTAAATTTTAATTTTTATTTTGTGGTGCTGGAATGGGGTGGGGTCAAATCCAGGGCCTCTTTCATGCCCAGCGAGCACTCTACCACTGAACTATCAGCCCCTATTTTTCATTTTCATATCAGCATTTTCATTTAGGTTCTAAGTATCATTTTTACCAAAATCATTTCTTTCCTTCTTCAGTTTTCCCACCCCTTTGGGCAGCTGTTTTCCCCAGTTCCTCCTACACATCCACCTTCAGGGTCTGACTGCCTAATATCCATGCTGTGTCAGTTAAGAATAATAACTGGTACTACATGGAAGCCATTAAATGAAACCAGAAGTGTGTGCCTGTCACATGTAGTGTTTCTGAACATCTGTCCCAACAAAGAACTATTTAGTCTGGTTTCTTGGTTCCTCTGTGATTCTTGAAGAGTCACCTGGGGCAACTCTGCAAAGTCCCAATATTCTTAGAGTATAGCTTAGTGGCAAAATGCTTGTCTAGCAGGCAAATGTGAAGAAAGAGAAAGGGGGGAAACAAATACTCTCACTCACTTGCTCCTTTATGAACTGAGGTAATCTGCCCCTTCAAAGAAACTGCATCTCAGAGGCTGACCCTGACTCTGCAGCCTAAGATGAAGAGTGAGTAAGATGTGATTGCACGTGGCACCCCGATAACCTGTGAAGGTCTTTTGTTGATTTCCTTGCTTCCTGTGATATTTACCTCAAAGTGCTCTATACAGATTGCTTTTCTATCTCTCTGGTGCTTTCAGTGTTTCCTCAGAGGGGAAAAAAGTCTGTGCTCATGTTGGTAATGATAAATATAATAATGATAGCGCTGTTACTTTATGTTTTTTTGTGGGGGGAGTGGGTACTGGGGATTAAACTCAGGGGCACTCAACCACTGAGCCACATCCCCAGCCCTATTTTGTATTTTATTTAGAGACAGGGTCTCACTGGGTTTCTTAGCTCCTTGCTTTTGTTGAGGCTGGCTTTGAACTTGCAATCCATGTGCCTCAGCCTCCTGAGCCGCTGGGATTACAGGCATGTGCCCCTGTGCCAGGTATGCTATTACTTTAGAGGAGGGAATTCTGCTTGATAGGCAAAATCCCCTGAGTTTGAGAATAAAACAGAAAACTTGTTTAGCACTAGTAAAAAATACACACACACACACACACACACTAAATCAAAGATTTTTAAGTAAATTTTAGTGTTGTCTAGTCTTCCTATAAAATAAAGTCATATTTAAAAGTTAAACACACACACACACACATACATAGCAGCGATGAATCAGATCTAATTTGGAAATATCACCTTAATAAATATCAAGATATTTAGTAAGCATAAATTATCATACCTGGTACCACTATTATACTCATTAAGCTAATGTGTAAAATGTATCTAGAATCTCCTATAAAAGAATCCTGGGGGCAGATCCAAGTGGTCCAATCAATATTTATGGAGAATCTACTATGTACTACAACTTGTACACCCAACCTGTTCTTATAGTTTGGGTGTTTTTTTTTTCCAGCTTTTTATACTCTTTCACACTCCTATATGGTGAGCTAAAGAAAAGGAAATAAATTAAGCAAATTACTCAAGTCATATTGCCTGAACAAATGAGTGTAAAGTAAGAAAATGGAGCTTATTGCTAAGTAATGGTTTAATCCTTCCTTCTACAGCACTGTTTCAGTTACTTCATGTTCTCAGTTAAGGCATCAAAACAGAAGCCAATGGATAATAAGGGGCAAAATTCTTAACTTCAGAAATCCTAATTATGCTAGGAGAAATGCCCTGTCACTCAAGTTGGTAGGCAGGATTTAAATGGTACAGTACTTCTGTTCCTGCTAGGCGAGTGGCACAAAACTCCAAGAAGCCAAGCACCAGTTGTCACACTATGTTTCCTTCAGGTGTCTAGACTGTCCCATGGAGTTAAGGTTAATGGACTGGAATTCTGGTTGTTCCATAGTGTCTTGTCTCTGACAATGTAACAATTCATTTCCTCTCCATGGCCTTAATTTTCTCAACTATCAAAAAATAAACTGGTCTAAGTAATTTCTAAGGCTCTACATGGTCATAGAAATCAGTGACAGGATAAAATTTTATAAATTATCTTCTCCTGCCCTGGAAGAGTAGGATAGTTGTTGTGGGCCAGGCTTATAGGTAGCTGGGAGAGGACTCAGTCTTAGAAAAAAATCAGAATGTCATTTAGCAATACTAAAGCATGGACCATGGTGAAATACTTTCTCAGGAGAGAAATAGAAGAATCAATTGATACATTGAACATTTGGAGACTGACCCATGACTGATGGAGATAAGGGAACTCCCTTTGGTCTCAAATTGACCCTCGTTCTAGAAGGGTGTCGTGGTTTTATCAAGCATGGACTGGGACTCTCATAGGGTACATGCTAAGATTTTGTAGGGTGGTGTACCTCCTAAGAAAATTAGACCATGACTCTTACATTTTTAGATTTTTTTTTTAATGATGTTCTTTACCTCAGAAACTAATTTCCCCAATTCTGTTTCTTTTCTGCCATCTTTTCCTTTTCTCCCCTGCCTTTGGGGTCATCTTCCAAAAGACGAGTGCATCCTTGGAAGAAGTGAGCCTGGGTCTGCTGCTGAGCGCTCCAAGACTGCTCTGTTGATCACCTCCTCCGTCATGTTACTGCTTCTGCTGGGGGCTGCCGTGTTTGTCTGGAGGAAGTCTCGGGGCCAAGTCCAGCCAGTACAAAAGACCGGTTATGAAAAGCTGGCTGACCCTGCCAGGTCATACTCCTCCTATAAGAGCAGCTATGGCGAGGGCACCAGCTTTGAAGAGGACCAGATGATCGAGTATAGGGACCAGGACTATGATGAGGATGATAATGATGACATCGTCTACATGAGCCAAGATGGCACAGTCTACCGAAAATTTAAGTATGGACTGCTGGAGGATGAGGAGGAAGATGAGCTGGAATATGATGACGAGAGCTATTCCTTCCAGTAGACACAGCCCACCTCCACCCCTTCCTCTCACGGGCATGCCTGTGAGCATGACTGTTTTGGTTTTATCCACACACCAGGCTGAGGTGTGAATGTGTTTGTCTTCTTAACCACGAATCCAACCAGAATATGTAAGAATGCTGAAATATTTTGTGCTTGTTTTGAGTGACTAAATTCAATTAACAGTTCCTGCTCAACCATCATTGAGGAGCAAGGATAAAATTTAAAGGCATTTTCCTCAAAATGATATGTGAAGACACCAAAGCAGGAAGTAAAATTAACTCTTTTATGTGATTTTAAAAAATAGGGAGGGAGCAGAAGACCAGTAGGGATTCTGTTTCCAAGTTGCATTGTGGGGAGCTCTGCTACTTTTTAGAATTCTGATATTTCTTGAAATAACTTGCGGGGGGGGGGGAAGAGTTGGCTTAGCAGGGATTTCTTTCCCCTTCTGGCTGTGTTTAGGCAGAGATTTGTTTTGTGAGAATCAAGGAAAAAAAGTGTTCTTATCTGTTGTTCCCAGAGTGTCCCCTGGTGAGCAGAAAAGAGCATCTCGGCTGAGGTGGCTCAGGACCCATTTAGAAATGAGGAAAGAAAAGAGGAGACGCATCATAGCAGAGGAACTACGAGTTTGCTGGGCCCTGGTTCATCCAAAGGTTTACAGAGCCATAATGATCCTGAGGGCAGAATGGCTCAGGCAGGAGGCAGATGGTAGCAAGCCCAGTGTGAAAAAATCACCAAGATTCTAAGAACCACACCCCCGTGATTCTCCAAGAAGTTTTCTAGTAGGAAATCATGAAAGAAAAATGGCAATGTGAACCTAACATAAAATGAAAAAAAAAAATCATCCATTCTAAGAAAAAGACTAGCTATCAAATCAGAGGAGCTTCCATCCACAAACCCATCAAAGAAATGCACGCTCTCCATAGAGAAAGCTGGAATGGAGTCTAACAGGAGGGAATAATCCCAATGTGCCCCTCTGCTTGTAAGCTGTAATCCAGCTGTCAAACAGCCTCCCACCATGTTAGCACTGTGGTTTTGTTTCTAGACTTCCTAAGCTTCCCTTTTTCTCCTTCTCCTGACAAGTATGCTCTTAGATACAAATGAGGACAGTTTTTCTGCAGATAGTAATACAGAGAGAGGGGCTCTGGCTACTTCAAAGTATACCAGCAGAATCTTGTGGATTTCCTTGTCAAAGAAGTTATAGGCACTGTTAGGAGTGGGACAACAAAGAGTGAAAGTGACATTTTCAGATGATGGCAATAGTCAAAATATACTGCATACCTACTGTATACCAGGTATCAAGCTAAGTAATTCCTCTTAGAAAGAAAGAAAGAAAAGAAAAGAAAGAAAGAAAGAAAGAAAGAAAGAGAGGAAGAGAGGAAGAAAGAAAAGAAATCACCACACTTACCCACTTGACATCACAAGTCTATCAGGTTGGAGTCGTCATTGCCCTGCCTTTATAGGAAACCTGAGGTTTACAAAAGGCTAAGTCACAGGGCTGGGCATAGTGATACATGCCTATAATCCCAGGGAGGCTCAGGAAAGAAGATTAAGTTCAAGGCCACCCTGGGCAACTTAGTGATACCCTGTCTCAAAATAAAAATTATTTTTAAAAAAGGACTAGCTCAGTGGTAAAGCATCCAGGGTTCAATCCTCAGTACCAAAAAAGAGGCTAAAGCACTAGTTCAAGGTCACAGAAAGCTCACCAAACTCCAAACAATAAGTGTGACCCTAAAGTGCATGTTTCTAATAAATATGCTCCACTAACATAAGATGGGAAAATAAGCATCCTAAATATAATAAACATGTCTATTATTGTATTCTATGACATCAATATCCTTCTAGGAAGTGTATGATCTTCATTCACTAAATTCGTATATTTTTTAAACAATGTGACACAGACATGGGAAATTTTGATGAAGAAGACTTCCGTTTACTGAAGGCTTGTGTTTCTTCAGAGGAAAGTTCTTAGGGTCAGTAGGCTTTCCCTGGAAAGAGCCAGATTTTTGTTACTACTTCAGGCCTTGTGGGCTAAAACATCTCTACTATAACTATTCGGCTCTGCCATGGTAGTGTGAAAGCAGCCACTACCCTATGGATGGGAAGACTGTGTTCCAATAAAACTTTATTCGTGGACACTGAAATTTGAATTTCAGATAGGTGTTACACATCATGAAATATTATTCTTCTTTTGATTTTTTTTAACCATTAGAAATATAAAAATTATTCTTAGCTCACAGAAGTACAAAAACAGGTGGTGGGTCAGATTTGGCTTGGACCTTGTCTTTAAAAAATTCTTCAGAGCCAGGTGCAGGTTCAGAACTGTGATTCCAATGAAGCTACACTTCCTTGGGAGGCTGAGGTAGGATATCGCAAGTTCAAAGCCAGCCTCAGCAACTCAGCAAGGCCCTAAGCAACTTAGCAAGACCCTGTCTCAAAATAAAAGATAAAAAGGGCTTGGGGTGTAACTCAGTGGTAAAATGCTTCTGGGTACAATCCTCAATACTAAAATAAAAAGAATAATTTCAGAGGTCCTCTGTATCATACATACATATGATATGCTTTCCAAAATTTTAATCATTTAAAATTAGCTCTTCAAAACCCATTTAAAGTCCTGATAGTTCTCTTCTTAAAAATGCTTGTAAGATAATCATCACATCAATGGGAGAATCTTCTTATCCATTGCAGTGTACAGAGTTAACCTACAGAAACAAGTAATTTTGCTTATACTGTGTTGTTCATGTTCCTTGATAATTTTAAAACTGTGATAGACTGAGTTGGACATTTTTTTCAATAGCCTGGAAATTGTTTTCCAAGAAAAGTCTGTGTTTATGATATGCAGTTAAAGGTTGAACAAGGTTGTGATGACCTTGAACACTAAGAAAAATTGTGCTCTTCTTCTATGTGACCTGAAGTGAAAAGAACACATGTGCTCATCTACTGGCAAGTTTGACAAGTTTGTGCTTAGTCATGCCACATTATTCTCTCACTTCTTTTGAAAATTATGCTTACAACTGTCTTAATAGATAAATATGTGGTTGGAAAACAATGTCACCTTTGGTTTTGTTTGCAAATAACTTGGAAATACTAAGAGAATCCTCAAAAACTGGAAATATACTAAAAAACTGGATAAGAGCTTAAAAGGTTCTGATTCATGGAATGCAATTTTAAAAGTGTAAATAAATGAAATTAAGACCAGGTGATGCTATGAAGACTCTCTCTCTCTCTCTTTTTTTTTTTTTTTTTTTGGTACTAGGGATTGAACCCAGGGGCACTTAACCACTGAGCCATTGCAATCAATTGCCACAGTCTGGCTGGGCACAAATGCCGCAGTCTGGCTGGGCACACAATCACGAGCCACCACACAGCTTGTAGATTCAAACAGCAACTCTTTATTCCCGAACTCACACCAGCCGTCTACAATCACGTTCTGGGGAAATCCACGTTCTCTTCCCAAATCCACGTTCTCTGCCCAAATCCACCTCCACTGGGCTTCTGTCTCACAAAATATACTGTCTAAATCCCGTGAGAACTCAAGGGGAACTCAGGCAGCAGGATACGCCCTATTCCCAGCAGGAATAATCTTAAACCTTAAACCTGGAACCTAAACTGGGAACGCCCTAAACACGATTATCTTAAAACCGGGAACACCCTAATCTGCCTTGGTCCTTGAGCAAGGTCACCTACATTCAATGTCACTGCAACATGTCAGCAACATGGGGTACGCTGGCAAGGAAATTGTCATACCTACTTGGCTAATGGCTCCCAGCAATCAATGTATGCATGTTGTGGCCTTTAGCTCTAACTTGGTCAGCACACATCAATAAGACATGATAATTTGCCAGGTATGGTGGCACACACCTGTAATCCCAGCAGCCCAGGAGGCTGAAGCAGGAGGATCTCCATTTCAAAGCCAGCCTCAGCAATTTAGCAAGGCTCTAAATAACTCAGCGAGACCCTGTCTCTATATAATATACAAAATAGGGCTGAGAAGGAGGCTCAGTGGCTGAGTGCCCCTGAGTTCAATCCCCCTTACCACCCCACCCACCCCCCACGAAAAAAACCCCAAAGATATGATAACTTGGTAAGGCACTCTGATAATGAATAAACAAAATTTAAATATATTTGTGGCTTCCTTTTTCCAGCCATTGATATCTATCTTGCTTTGCCATCAGATGTAGGGGGAAAAAAAGTCATAGACATGAAAAAAGATGCTACAAGGCAGGTAATATGGCCCCTCTTTTCAAAGGAGGAAGGGAAGATCAAAGGATGATACTCAAAGTGTCTAAGTTAAAGTGGACCAAGTGGGCGCACATGGTGGCCAACAGGCTACAGTCCAAGGCTGTAAGGATTAGATTGTTTTGCTCATCTCCACAGCCCTCACACCAGCACACATGGTACATATAAAAATATTCATTGAGTGATTACAGAAAAGAGATTGATTGCATATGTCTGTCTTATGAGCTAAGAATAGATTCTAGAACTAGGTCACCTAGCCACACTTAGCTGTAAGGAAGGCAGGAAAGCAAATAGGTAATAAAGCACAACAAGATGACCTGGACAGCTTAGAACAGTCCTGACTCCTCTTTGGGAGCTTGACCAACCACTCTCTATAAAACTGTTTTCATTATCATAGAAGAAGGTAAGGCAGAATAGCTGTTAGATCACCTGATAAAAGTTCCCACCACTCGCCAGGCATGGTGGTACAGACCTGTAATCTCAGCTACCCTGAAGACTGAGGCAGGAGGATTGCAAGTTTGAGGCCAGTTTCAGCAATTTAGCAAGGCCCTAAGCAAGTTAGTGAGACCTTGGCTCAAAGTTTAAAATAAAGATTTGGGGACTTAACTCAGTGATAAAGCACCCATGGGTTCAATCACCAGTACCTTAAAAAAACATGCCTGCCATTCCAACAAAAAGGGTTCAGGGAGAAGAACAAATCCCAGCCTGCAAGGGAAATGATATAAGGCTTATTAAATGAAGCAAACATATGTTTATAAAAGAGGGGATTATAGATAACACAAGATCAGAACAAAACTGAGGTCAGGAGAATTATCCTTCCTCTAAGTTATTGCTCTCAGTGAGGCCTGTTTGGGTGGCTAGCAGTATAATTCAGGACCGGATACAAATTCTGCTATATAATTTATGCTAGTTTTAGATATGATAAAATATTCAACCCAAATTGACTTAAATACAAAAAGAAGGTGGGGATGTAACACAGTTGCACTTGCCTGCATGTGAGAGGTTCTGGGCTCAAGCCCCGGCACTGCGGAACAATAAATACATAAATGCAAAATGAATTTATTAGCTCACTTAATTAAACAGCGTAGGATTAGAGGTAGGATCCGGCACTGCTGGAGATGCGGTCAGACCATGCTGCCAGGTCCTGTTTATCTCCATCTCCCTCTCTGCGTTTTTCGACATTGTCCATTCTCACTGGAGCTGTCTCCTCACATTAGCCAGATGTCTGCCAGCTGTGTCTGACTTTTCATTCTCTTGGGTCCTTACCCAAAAGGAAGAAGACTCCACTTCTGATGCAAGATTCAGGAAAGCTTTTGTGACATCTTAATGGCTCAGAAAAGGCAACTGCTAGTTTACATGATGTAAATATGCCTACAATGAACAATTTCAAGCTTCAAAGATGATATCACTTCCCCTGGTATTGGGAAGAAATACAAAGACAAAAACAATTGCACTGCATTTCTGCCACACGAATGCCTTAGACACAATCAATTTTGAAAGCATAAATAATATTAAATGTAAAATGGTTAGGAAGCAATGAGTTTAGGGGGCATGTTTCCCATGTTTTATATAAAATTTATTTAACTAAGGTTTTAATAAACTGAGTACATGGGGGCACACCTGCAATGGTAGAGAGGTGGGAGGCTGAGGTAGAAGGACTTCAAGTTTGAGGCCATCCTAGGCAATTTAGGGAGACCCTATCTTAAAATTTGAAATAAATAAATAAATGAAAAGGGCTGGGAATGTAGCTCAGTGGTAAAGTGCCCCTGTGTTGGCAACAGGTCCACCTTGGCCCCTGGAGCCCTACCTCCACTAGTTTGTTCTGCATGCCAGTGTGGCCAGCTCACAAGGCCATGGCGAACTTGCGGTTTTTCTGTTCCTGCTTATCCGTCTGAGACATATGTATCCCACGGGAATGCCTTGACCTTTTCTGGTCTGATGGACTTATTGTTAAGGGAGGTTTCGGTACCTGACAATAATAGATGTTGAAACTAAATTTCTCCCCCCTCCCTCCTGCTTTTGGGTAGTTTTCCACTTCTGCTGCTTGGGGTATAAAAAAAGGTGTGTTAACAATAAAGATTATTATTGACTCCTGGATGAAGAACCTTGGTGTCCTGTGTGTCTTTTAACCTCGCCGTCCCTCGCCGGACTCGGCTCCCTTGGCCGGACGCGGCAATTGGAGGTCCCACCGAGATCCGGAAAGCAGGGGTAAGCGGACGGGGCTCACCTTCTAAGAAAGAAGGGGGAGGATTGGTTTAAAGATAATTTAAAGAGACAGGGTACGTACCATGGGTAACTCAACAGCGAAGGTTCGTCTGGCCAACGAACTGAAAGAGCTGTTAAATACACAAGGAACAGGAATAAAAACTAAGACTGCAACCGAATTCGTTGAAATTATTGCCCAGGCTTGTCCTTGGTTTCTAACAGGAGGATTTCTTAATAATAGTGACTGGGACCTGGTGAGGCATGACCTTCAGAAATTATTGAGGGACCGGGGCTCGGACAGTGTCCCAGTTGCCACCTTTTCCTTATGGAGGTTGGTAAAGGATGCTTTATTAACAGATAAAGTAAAGATCAAGGATCAGCTTGCTGAATGTGAACAGGTCCTTAATCAGGTGCAGGAGGAGCAAATGGCAGAATCCTTAAAGGATGAGGGTCCTCTTGAGGACTCGGGCTCAGGGGGTAGGAAACGCCTCCAGATTTCTAAGCCCAAAAATGATCCTGAGGACCTCAGTTCTCTCTCTGAGGAAGAGGAGGGATTAGAAAGGGAGATAGAGGAACTAGAACATCGCCTTAAAAGGGCAAATGTGAGGGTGCCTAGGGCCCCCTCAGTTGCCGCACCTCCTCCCTATAATCCTGATTGGAATGAGGACGCCCCTACTAGACGGGCGGGGGTCCACTGGGGTTCTAGAGCGGCTCAGGTTTTTCCAATGATTGAAAACGCCGATGCTGATGGACAGCCGGCCAGAGCCCATGTCCCCCTAGCCTTCAAGGACATAAAACAGCTTAAGGAGGCGGTCATTAATTATGGACCTCATGCCCCTTTCACATTGACCCTCTTCGAGTCTTTCTCAGCCAGTCAACTGATACCCAATGATTGGCAGCAACTTTGCAGGGCTGTGTTATCTGGAGGGGATTTCTTATTGTGGAAAAGTGAATATCATGAAAGGTGCCGCGAGCTGGCTCAGATTAACCTGAACGCGGGCCATCAACGGCGAAATGCTGAAATGTTGACAGGAACTGGGCAGTATGCCACCATAGGCCAACAAATTAATTACGACCCAGGTGTTTATGCTCAAATAGCCTCAGCTGCAGTTCATGCCTGGAAAGCCCTGCCCATTTCTAAGACTGAAGCAAAAATTTCCAAGATCTCTCAAGGACCCTCTGAACCTTATTCAGACTTTATAGCCCGCCTAATGCAGGCTGCAGGAAAAATATTCCCTAATCTAGAACAGGCTATGCCACTTATTAGACAACTGGCATATGAAAACGCTAACACTTACTGCCAAAATGCTATTAAGTCCTCCTGGGCCAAAAGTATAGATGACATGATTCGAGCATGCAAAGATATAGATGGGCCTCATATTACTGGTCAGGTTTTGGCTGCTGCCCTTAAGACTGGAATGCAAAAAGCTGATAACAGGGGAACCCGCTCTAAGGGGTGTTTTAAGTGTGGGAAAGAGGGACATATAAAGAGAAACTGCCCGGAAAGGAGCGAGGGTGCTGGCAGAGGGATGCCTAGAATTTGTCCTAGATGTCATAAAGGAAATCATTGGAGCAGTGAGTGCAGGTCAAAATTTGACATCCAGGGTAACCCAATACCGTCGGGAAACGGGAGCAGGGGCCCGCCCCGGGCCCCGGAAGCCAAAGTGTACGGGGCAATGCAGGGACGAAACAGTGCCCCAGGGAGTGGGCGTCTCCGCCGCCTCCCACTGACCAACCCCTTTCTATCTGGGAACTCCCCAGGGG